GAATCCCATGGGGAAGATGTGATATATAAGAGTCAGCTAGGAGACTACCTCTATACTAAAATAGATGTCAAGGCCTCATGCAAAAACCATGACAGACAATGCACTAAGCCCACCACACAAATATCATATACTTCTTGGTTCCTGGAATGAGAGTTTGTCATTTTGGCCTTGCTTCCTACCAACTTAAACACAATAAAACAAAGGCCAAGATGAAAAGATTTTGGAGACAGGTGTGGTAGCATGGCAACAGTAAATTGAGAAGAGTGATTCAGAGGCACTCTGGTATCTTAATGGGGTCTAAAGAGTTCTCTTTCAGCTTTCTACCTTGGCTCTGGTAGTGGAATTGATAGAGGATAACTTTAGTTGTTGCCAAGTGCCACTCCAGTTCAAGTGATAGCTGTCTGGAGAATATGGCTGAGAGTTGCTGAGATCCTTAGTTATCTAGCTGTCTTTAGAAGACTTTGTCTTTGGTTTAACAAGTACTCTAGTTCATAAGCAGGTCCAGGTGTTCAGAGCCATGAGAGGTATTCTTAGGGATCTAAAGAGAGTTTGGAGAGTTTTCAGACACATGGCTGTTTACAAAATCAAGTGATATATCAGGTACAGTTACAAATTCCCTATGGTGAATGTGATAATCATACATCTAAAATGGTACATCTAAATGTACCAATAAATGTTTTGCTTCAAAAAAATCAAGTGAGATGAATTATGTGGAAGTGATTTGTAAGCCACAGGGAGCAAGGGACTCAGAATGTGGATATACTATTATGTAGAACTCATTAGGACTCAGATATATAGAAAACTAGATAATCTGGAGTCTATAAGTCAATGAGTCTCAGCAAGCCAGTAGCAGACCCATGAGATTCAGGCAGATTTCTGGCCGCTAGTCCCAACTTGAGCTCCCTGTCCTCCTGCAGGGTTGAACTCTGCAAGTTTCTACTGAATGTTCCAGCTGCCCTTCCCCTGAAGATAGTCCAGGTTCTGATGGGAGGTGATGATCCCTCCAGCTTACCAAGTACAGTGGTCTGGTGTGCCTTTATTGCAGAGATTCTCTTCACTTTTCCAGTGGGCTTCAGTTTTCATCAAGGAGCCTGAGAGAGGCCCTCTTTCTGTTGTTCACTTCTGCTCTATCTTCTGGAGTTCAGGACAGTGGCCTTTATGGCCCCCTGTGCCTCTGTAGTATGGATCCAGGTAGCAGCACAGCCAGGAGGCCAGAGGAGGGGGAGAGAGGGTACAGGTGCCCACATGGCTAAGCTGGTTGCTGGGGAGCGGTTTGGGGAGGTGGGGTGGGGACGGAGCAGGGCTCCAAGGGGTCAAGGTCCTCACCATCCTCTGGCTGGTCGCTGGGGGCTAATTTTCTTGTTTGACTTATTTCACTTAAATTAGCATTATGGTTGCAATTTCCATCTATTTTTCTGCAAATTACATTTACTCATTATCCTTTATGGTTGAATAATATATCCCATTGTGTTCATTTACTTTTTAAGTTTACAAACATTGCATAAGTATTATGCACACTATGATGTTTTGAAGGTTATATGTACTATACAATGCCTAAATCAAGCTAATTAGCACATCCATTACATCATATAATTAGCATTTTTTTCATGGTGAGAGCATTTAAAATTTACTCTCTTGGTGATTTTCAAATATACAGCCATCATGTTATACAATAGATCTCCTGAACTTATTTTTTCCTATCTGAACTAAAAATTTTAAATATTTTGACTGTCTTCCTACACTCCTAACCCCATTCCCTACTCTCTGTTTCTGAGTTCTACTTTTATACATTCCATGATTGTGGGCTCATGTATTTGTCTTTGTGTGCCTTATTGTAGATGACATGATATCCTCCAGATTCATCCATGCTGTTGCAAATGACAAGATTTCCTTCTTTTATGAGACTGAATAGTATTTTGTTGTGTATATACACCACACTTCCTTTATCCATTTTTTTTATGAACAGACACTTTGGTTGCTTCCATACTTTGGCTATTGTAGAATGATGGCCTTTTGGATCCCCATTCTGGGCTGTTTTCCAGGCAGGATTCTGTCTGGGGACTGCACACATTTAGTGATGTTATCTGGGTGGCCCTCTAGCTGGGGCCTGCCCCCCTCCCTAGCTGTTTTCCAGCTGACTGGCTATTATAATAGTACCGCAGTGGACATTGGCATGCAGCTATTTCTTTAGCATACTGAGTTCATATATTTTGGTTATAGATTCAATAGTGGAATTACTAGATCAGATGACAATTCAATTTTTAACTTTTTTAGAAGCCTCCATACTGTATCTAATAGTGCTTGTACTAATTTACATTCCTATCAACAGTGTACGTGAGTTTCTTTTTCTCCACATCCTTGTCAACACTTGTTATCTTTAATCTTTTTGATAACAGCCATTTTAAGAGGTATAAAATTATATCTCCTTGTGATTTTAATTTGCATTTCCCTGGTAGTAAATGATGTTGAGTATTTTTTCATATACCTATTAATCATATGTATGTCTCCTTTTAAGAAATGTCTATTTGTAGGGTTTTTTCTACATTTTTAATCAGGTTATTTGTTTTCTTGCTGTCAAACAATACTTATTGGAAAGGCCATCTATTATTCAGTGTATTGTTTTACTTTTGTCAAAGATCAGTAGGTGTGTTTGTGTGGGTGAATTTTTGGGTTCTTTATCAGTTCAGTTGATCTATGTGCATAACATCTGTATCACGCTGTCTTGGTTTTTATAGCTGTATGCTAAACATTTGCATCAGATTGAGTTATTTATCACACATTATTTTTCTTGTATCAGAAACGTTTTAGCCAATCTAAAGCCTGTGTATTTGCATATAAATCTTAAAATGAGTTTGAGTTCATTTATGTCTATAAAAGACCTTGCCAAGATTTTGATAAGAATTGCAATAAAGCTATCGATTAATTTTGGGAGAATTGACATCTTTATTAGATTGAACCTTTAAATCCATGAACATAGTATGTTTCTGTATTTATTAATGTATTTTTTGTTTTGTTTTCTAATTTTCTAATTTTCCAGTCTGTACGTGTTTTCTTAGTTTTATACCTAAGTATTTTTTATTATTTATTTATTTATTTTTTATACCTAAGTATTTTATTGCTTTGGAACAATTGTAAATAATAGGTTTTTTTTAATGAGCATTCTCTCAGAGAACCTTCCCCACAAAATAGGTTAAAACAGACATAAAAGATATCTAATCATAGTTATTATTTTATTTGGTAGTCTGCCTTCTTATGTGAAGGAAGCATAGCTGAGGCACTACATCAGTGAGGCTGGTGACCAATCAGCATCTCAATTTCACATAGAAACCTTTATTCTTATATTTGTGCTTCAATATTTGAGCTGAGTGGCTCTGAAATAGTTCTTCATATATTTGAGATTAATTGCCTTTTACTGTAAAATAAAATGATACTTTATAAATGGTGAGTCTAATTAAATAAGAAGACATATGAAAGTATCTAACATACTGTAAATGATCAAGAAATGTTTTTTTCTTCTGCTTTTCCCCCTTTCTCTATCCCTCTTCTTCCCTTTTTTTATTCTTCCCCTCCTTTCTTTTCCTTCCATTCCTGCCCATGCAAGTCCATTGTGGTGGATGGGGACCCTATGTTTCCATCTGGGGTGGGTCGATGTTCTAGCTACAGCCTGGCTAATTATCAGAGGCCAGCTCATCCTCAAGAACTCCTCCTTGACATAACACATTATTCTCCTGGATGATGTGAAGGATATAATGATGAAGATTATTAAATAATGAAGCTTATTTCTTCTATTTATTTATGCTAAGCAATTCAGTGAGTTTTCATGCATGATGAGGCATTTTCCTGAGTCTTCATAAAAGAAGGTCATATGCAGTGGGTAATTAGCATGATTAGGGCGACCCAGGGATACCTCTAAAAGCAACTGAAACTCTTCATGCCTTCATGTTTGATTTGAGTACAGTTCTTAGCATCCAAAAATATACAGAAAGAGAGCAGCATGATCATAGTTTGATGCAGAGATTGTCCTGAATTTCTTGAATTCATAGAAACAGTCTGAGCTGAGAGTGGGTTGATGAAGATTGTCGTGCTTCCAACAGAAGCCACTCTATACTGGAAAGAGCTGTATATAGAAGCCTGAAAAAGTAATATCTCCATTACAATTTCAAATTTAACTGCAGTCTCTCTAGAACTGATGATACATTTTTTTCTCCCCACTTTGGCAAATGCTCATCCAGTTTGTTTGGGACAAACCCCTCTAGTCCCCAATAGTAACTGTGGGCCAGATGTATGACTCAGAGGCTCTAGTGGACCTAAGAAGCCCTTGAAAGTGCAGGCTGGGGCCGCTACAACATCTAAATTGCTGTCAGAGGACCAGTTATCTTCATTGGTCACAGCCTGGAGAGATTATATTACTCTCTGCCCTCCACCCACAGGTGCCAAACCAAGATGGAACCATGAGGAAGGACATACCCAGCCTTAAATGATACCTGAGAAAAGGAAGCTTTTTATTGAAAATCTGTACATTTTTCATTAGCATTTAAAGTGCATTTTCAGCCGGGGGTTTACCTCAGTTGTTCCGGCGCCTGCCTCTCAAGCACAAGGTCCGGAGTTTGATCCCTGGTAAAAAAAAAAAAAAAAAAAAAGTTAAGTGCATTTTTAGAAGTGTATTGGCTTAGGACTCAGAGAGTTACTAGAAATAGAACTTTAAGTGGCTATTGGCCTTAGCTTATTTTCTTAAGTTTTCTTCAAAGGCTGCTTGCACCAGTGACACTTTCTGTACTGGAGTTCTCTCATTCAAGTCCTTTTAGTGGAAGTCATGAGAGTGATAGTATTTAGAGCAGAATGTCAGTCAAGAGGAGTAATATGGCCCCACCAAATTCCTGCCAAATGTCTAATGCACCTAGGCTGAGCTCACTTCTTTTGGATGTTTCTGATGATTAATGCATAAGAACCTTGACTACAGTGAGCTTACTCATGCCAGTCTTTTCCTCTTCTTTCTTCAGCAAGGGTTGAAAATAGTTCACCATGCAGAGAAGACATTGTCCAGTTTCTGCAAATGGCAGAAGAGCATCAATCCCAAAAGTGACCTTAACCCTGTCCATCATGATGTGGCTGTCCTTCTCACCAGGTACTCCTGTGTCTTTGTGGAACCCAAGGGCAGCAAGTTGAGGAGGGTAGGCAAGACTTCCAAGGTATTCATACTCATGAAATTCTCAGAACTCTGCGCTGTTCTTGGTCAGCTGTGAAGGCAGCAACTCTGATCTGTTCAGCTCCTAGCTCACACCAGTGGAGGAACAGTTTAGCACACATGCTAATATGTCAAAGCTCTCCCAGCTAATAAACTGCATCTGCTGGCAGAATTTTAGACTAGGACTTCCCTCTCCTCACCCATGGCCCTAGCAGTTGTCACCTGAAGAACTGAATACTCACATGGGTTCTCAAAGCCTGGATCTTTTCTGCAGACAAAAGGGCACAAAAAGCAGGAGAACATTTGTTGTTAGAAATGGTGCCCACACAAAACCCATGAGATAAGATTTGCAGCTAATTAAAGCTCAGAACCTCATTGACATTGGTGCAAGTCAAGAGCTATTAGCCAAGAGCTTTTCTTTTACTGAATAAAATCAAATGATTAATTAATGACTCTCTCAAACTCTTTTTGGTGATTGAAATAACTCCTGCCAACATATGGAGGCACATTTTCATTTAAAATCTATAGCCATTATTATCTGAGTTCTTAGATGTCTTTCCTTTCTTTTTCCAGAAGCAGTGAATTCCACAAGATGCCCCTCTTCTCTCTTTCTCTCTCGGTCCCTCTCTCTCTCTCCCTCTCTCTCTCTCTCTCTCTCTCCCTCTCCCTCCCTCCCTCCCTCCCTCCCATAGGAAGTATTGTCAATTTAGTGGAGGCTGGTCAGGCAATTGAATTGATCTGTGGGTGGGTTGAAGGGACACATTGCTTTTCTTATGAATGACCAGAAGCTCTCAGATGAATTTTCAGCATAGACCTCAAAGGAGTTTCATATTTGAAAAATCCCAGTCACTGTTAATTGACCTTTCCCTATTTAAAAGTTCAAGTTAACTTCGGTTTTCAATGAAATCTCTTATTGGCCAAATCATATAATTTGGCTTCCTGAGATCAAGAGCAAAATAACCCAAAATAAAACATTCACTATATATCCTCATGTTTTTAAGTGTTAGTGAAATTCAGTAATTAAGAAGTAAAATCAAAATAAGGTTAATGCAAAATTACACCCTATATTCATACTGACTTTTAAATATTTATCCTAACCATCCTTTACAAATAACATTGATTATAAATTTATGCATAGAATTTTTTCCAGGAGATTTTTCAGACATTTCTTTGGGTTTCTAACAATCTCTATTCTCTGTCTTCAGAAAAGACATCTGTTCTGGTGTCAATCGTCCCTGTGAAACCCTGGGTTTGTCTCACCTGTCAGGAATGTGCCAGCCCCACCGAAGTTGTAACATCAATGAAGACTCTGGACTCCCGCTGGCTTTCACGATTGCACATGAGCTGGGACACAGGTAAAGGGTCAGGAAGTAGAGATCTGCTTGCCACTCATGTATCGATTTCAGTAGAGTTAATGAAAGCACCCTAGGCTGAGTGTTAGATTTGGATTGTGTTGTGTCTTGACACTCGTCCCACCAGTCCTCTGTATTTTCATCTGTAAAGAGGGGATAGTAACACACTTCAGTTTCCAGTGTCTCCTCTGCCCTGACCACTTGTACCCATATGTACATCACAGAATCAAGGAGGCCACCACAGTTTTCTCAATTAGAATGGAATGAGCCGGGGCAAGGAGAAAAGATATTCTGGAATTAACACTATCATATTCATACTCTGATTAATTCTTATGAAATGATAATCTTATTGTCGCTAAAAGGACACAAAATTAACATTTTTGAGTCTTTATAGCGTTGTGCCATTGAATCATCTTGATTTCCTTATGAAATAGATGCCATTGTTAGCCCCATTTGTACTATATATATATATATATATATATTAAAGGAGAATGTTGAATAAACTAAAAACTGCCATAAACATGGAAAGATCATTAAATAAATATCAATTAACAGGATATCTAAGTTGTTGCAAAAATGTGCAAATACCTTTAGATGAATCCCTTGAAGGCAGGTTTGACAATGTTTGAGTGAAGTATAATGAGGATTCTGGATGTGCCAGGTATCTAAAGTTCTCATGAATGAAAGATATTAGCTCACTTGTAACTTCATTTGTCAATATATTTGCTAACTGCAAATAAGACCACATCATAATCCTTGGAAGCCCAGAGTGGGAGAGCTCATAGATAGTTAAACCATGTGCCCTTGCCTGTCATGATCCACTACCCTGGATCTTCTTCCTAGAAAGGAGTAGGGACACTGGGACATATTCCGAGTGCACACCTAGAAACAAGGCCTGGCCTTTCCAACTGGGGTCCCTCATCATTTTTCTCACATAGCTTTTGAACTTTTCAAAAATAATTTTACCTCCATTACAAAACCTTGACTCCAGAGAAAGTGAGTGCTTGATCTGACTTTCCCATCAATGACTATTATGACCTTATATAATATTATAGATAATATCTCTATACCTGCTTCTTCATCTATAAGATCGGTAGGTTGAACCAGACCATTTCCCAAATGCTATGGTTTGTTGGAACCTCACCAAAATGTCCTGGAGATAAATGTGAAATAGTTTAATATCCTGAGTTGTGAAAAATTCAGAAGAAAGAGAAAAGAGACTTTCTTACACCTAAATAATAAATGAAAACTTGAGGGAGCAAGGACAGAATGTAATCTTCATAAAGTTAAAGTCATTGGCATGTTGATAATAGAACTTAGCAAAATGGAAGGTATTTTCATGTGTAAGCATACAGACATCCCCAATCCTGCTTTGCAGAGGAGGATTGTTTCTGCTATTGATATGAACAACTCCTGCTGGTCATGCAATACCAACTGAATATAACTGATCAAACTGAGAAGTGATTTACACATGCTTTTCATCAGTGGTATACCCAAGCTAAAGAAAACTTGAGAAGACTTAGCTTGATAAAAAGTCAAGGTTCACTTCTTATGTTCAAAAAGTGGATTCTTTACATCTTCAAATTCAATTTGACATTGTAAAGAGAAAAATGCTAAGCAATTCCCCCAAAAGGAATGTTTACCCATTTTGAGACAATTATTGGGGTGATTATCTCAGGGCATGGGCGTATCACTTTTGTGAGGAAGGTCACCTAAATAAATAAAGACAAGGGCAAGTCTGATTCTTCCTTTAGATTCCAAAATTTCTTCAATAAAGCTGAGAAAACTGTAGTGGTATTACTTGAATACAAGGAGCTGAACACTTGAAAACAGAGAAGTTCAGCAGTTATCAAAAATGCTGGCTTGTTTATCAGACTAGAACTGGACACTACTGATTCAGGTTGATACTACAGTAAGTAAGGTTAAGCTGAATACCAGTTTGGAGCTAGTTAAAGCATTCTGGATATAAGACTACTAAAACAATTTCTTATCCTGTGTTTTTGTTGTTACTGTTATTGTTGTTCTGTTTCAAATTATTCAGGGAACAATGAGAATCAAATTCTAAGAAAAAAATCCTCTTTAAATAAAAGCCAATTTTCTAAGTAAAAGAACTTAAGAACACTTAATACAGAACTAGTATGCAGTTTTTTAGTTTATTCAGAAACTGACCCTGAGACAAGGACTTGAAAGCAATTTATTTGTATGGAAGGTAAAGGAAATACCTCTAGGGACGGAAGATACTGAAATAGGAAGTCAAGGGAGACAATAAATGGTTAATTATCTCAGCTTTCACTGAGAGCAACTGGACCTTAATCCTACAGGGAAACTCTGAAAGAAAAAACATATTTCAGAGTTATCTCCCACAAAGGCAAAGAATTGGGTTATTTTATATGACAATACCCTGAAGTTATTGGTCAAAGGCTGTTCCCAGGGGCTGTGATTCCCTTGGACCTCCAGCTCAGTATGCAAAGACAGAGCAGTCTAACTTGACGTTAGAGAAAGCCCCCGTGAAGAGAGATGCAAATACTGGCCTTTGGAAGTGAGCTGGTCCTGAGCCTTTGGGCAGTTCACAGTAATACCTGCTAGGGCTCACTTGGGGGCATTAAATGCCACCCCTTAATGAAATGCTGAGTCAGGAAGACATGGAATATACATACTTTTCCCTATTCTTTCTATTAAGTATAATGAAAACACCTGAACATTATGTGAAAAACAAGTAAATGGATTTTGAAGGATGAAGAGAGGAGAGAAGACAGGCTGGGGACAACAGGACCTGAAAGATAACCTGATAGTGAATCCACTGCTTTTCTTTTCTTTCATATATGCCAAATTTGGAGCTGATGGTATCAGCAGCCTGGAAGCTGACACAGACAAAACACAATTCTCAATTATGTTATCCAGTCAAAAAATCATGACAGCAAGACAGCAACTGTTCCACTTGAGCTAAACACAGAAAAGAGGTGTAGCCTCATGTTATTCCATGCTGACAAAGTTTGAGTGGCAGCCTAGACTTCCATTCATAAGAGATGGTAACAAAACTTTCAACACTGCCACTAAAACAAAACAAAGCAAAACAAAACAAAAACCCTGCCATTTACATGATGTCAAAAGGCCACATAAGGCACTGAGACTTTGATACCTGTAGGGCACTAATGAGTGTTTCCCAGTCCTGTGATGTCAGTACAGACCTTATGAGGAATCAGAAATCCTTCTACCAACTGAGGTATTAAAAGGAAAGCCTGAACTGCTTTTACCTGGCAGTAATGAGGTGGTGGCTCTGTGACCTTTCCTTGCCACAGTAATATTAGTAAAGGCGGCTAAATGTCAGGCATGGTGGTGGATGTCTGTAATCCTAGTACTGGGCTGAAGTAGGAGGGGGTGAGTTCAAGACCAGCGAGCTACACAGTGAGTTCAAGGTCAGCCTGAACTATATAGTGAGATCCTATGTCAAAGAAAATAAAAAGCCAACTAAAACAGCAGATTTTAAAGAGGATCCACTTAACCTGAAAACCTTCAGGTTTCTATGTAAATCACTCAACATACCAGGGATGTCTCAAACAGAGTGAAAAAGTATCAGAAGTCAATAAATGCCAATATTAACAATATAGAGATATTTGAATTAGCTGACAAAGAATTCAAAGTAGCCATGATAAAAATGCTTCAATACGTGATTACTAACCATCTATAAACAAATTAAAAAATAGTAAGGCTCTGCTAAGAAATAAAACAGATGAAGAAGAATGAAATGGATATTGTAGAACTGAAAAATATAATAATCAAAATTTTAAAATACAGTAAATGGGCTCAACAGCAGGATAGAGGGGACAAAGAAAAGCATCAGTGAGGTGGAGAACACAACAATAGAAATTATGCAATCTGAGCAAATAAAGAGAAAAAAGATTTCAAAAAATTGAACAGAGCTTCAGGAACCCATGAGCTTACAGAGAAGGATCTTACAATTTATTATCAGAGTCTCAGAAGGAGAGGGGGGAGGATGTGATCGGAAGAGTGCTTAGAGAACAAATGGCTGAAAACTCCAAGTTTGATGAAACAAACCTACAGACTTAAGAAGCTTAAAAGGTTAAACATAAACTCATATTTTATTTAAGTCCAACTAAAATCTGTGCTAAATCTATCTAATTAAATTTTTGAAATCTGAAGATGGAGGAACAACTTGAAAACAGGAAGAGAGAAATAACACATCAATAAGAGGAAAACAATTTGAACAACAGTAGATCTCCCATCAGACTGTGGAAGTCCAAGGGAGGTGACACAATATTTCTCAAATACTAAGATCTGTCAACAACCCAGAATCATAATCCTGGTGAAGTAAGAGAGGAGGGGATACTTTCTAATTCAATATATAAAGCTCTTATTACCCTAGTACCAATATCAGACAGAACAGTATCCTTCATGAATGTAGATGCAAAAAATTGTAATAAAAGATTAGCAAATAGAATTCAATTATATATATATATATATATGTTCTTTGCTTTTATTTTAAGCCACTACAATGACTTTTTTAAAAATATAGGCAGATTAGTTTAAAAATAACATGCTCACCTTAACTGATAGAGAAAAAGCATTTAACAAAATTCAACACACATTCATGACTTTTAAAACTTTTAGGAATAAAGAAAAACTTCCCCAACATGATAAAGTACATCTAAAACAAATTTACTCTTCAACATAGTATGAAAAGTTTCAGTCCAATGTGATAACAGATTGGATACAAGAAACAAAACCATCCCTATTTGAGCTAGGTGTGATGATATGTCTATATTCCTAGCTATGCAGGTCACTGAGGCAAGGCCACAAGTTTGACACCAGCCTGAGTAACTGAGACCCTGTCTCAAAAAAACCAAATAAACAAATAAAAACAATTCACATTTGAAGATAGGACTATTTAGAAAATCCCATTGAACACACATACACACACAGAATAAGTGAGTTTATTAACAGGATGTAATATAAACATATAAAATTAATCATACTTTTATATCCTAACAATGAACAGGTAGGCAATGAAATTAAAAATTCAGTACTTTTCAGGGCCGGGGATTTAGCTCAGTGGTTCCGCCGCCTGCCTTGCAAGCACAAGGTCCTGATTCAATCCCTGGTACCAAAAAAAAGAAAAAAAAAATTCAATACCTTTCATAATGAGTCAAAATTTGATTTTAGACTTTTGTCTTGCAGACATGAGAAAATGAATTTCTATTAAGTCACCAAGTTTATTTTTATGGAATCTCTATGAAACTAACATATCATACATCTATCAAAGCACAAGTATCTTGAATATAATAACCTTCCAAATTAAATAGTAAAAATAATACAATTAGAAAATGGGCAAAAGACTTAAATAAACATTTCACCAGATGAATCCACAGACGACAAGCATATGAAAGGATATTTAACATCATTAGCTATCAAGGAAATGCAAAATAAAACCATAGTGATATATCATTACACTCCTATGAAAGTGACCATAATAAAATCAATGATGATAACAAATGCTACCAAGGATATAGAGAAAATAGATTGTTCATACATCACCTGTGAGAATGTAAAATAGTACAAGCACTAGCACTATGGAAAAAGGTTTGGTGGTTCTTTAAAAACTGAGCCCACAATTGCCACAGTAATTATAGAATTACCCAGTAATTGTACTTCCAAGCTTTTATCTGGGTGAAACTGAGATTATGTTCATACAAAATGTTGACATGAATGTGTATAGGATCCTAATCATAATATCCTCAAACTGGAAACATCCAAGGGTTTGTTTCTACCCAGCAGGGTAAATGGTTAAAAAGCTGTAGTGGAGACATACCCTGCGACATCAATCAGCTACAGGAAGGAAGAGGCTACTAGTACATGCAACAACTTTGACAGATTTTCAAAGAATTTTGCTTAGTAAAAAAAAGACTGTTCCAAAAGGTTAGACACTGTATGATTACATTTACATAGCATTATAGAAACAACAAAATTATAGAAAGAGAGAACATACTAGAATTTAAGGAGGGGTGGGGGAGGGGAGGAGTAAGTGTGGCTCTATAGTGCGACATGAAGGATCTTATAATGGTGAAAATAGCCTGTGCTTTGACTATATTAACATCAGTATCTTAACTGTGATGGTGTACTACAGTTTTGCAAGCTATTACCATGGGGGAAAATGGGTAAAACATACACAATTACCCCTGTGTACTGCATCTTACAACTACGTCGAAATCCGCAGTTAGCTGAAAATTCAGAAGTTTAATTTTTGTTCAATAATAGCTAAAAGGAGTAAGAGAGAGAGGGAGGGTACGAAGGCAGGTAATGGAGGTAATAGAAGTAAACTATATCGGGCCAGGGATTTAGCTCAGTGGTTTTGCCACCTGCTGTGCAAGTGCAAGGACCTGAGTTCGATCCCCAGTACCAAAAAGAAAAAAAAAAAAAGAAGAAGTAAAATATACACAATTCAAGAAAAAAATGTGAAACTGGGGGAAGGATGGGGAAAGGAGGTGATGGAAATTGAAAATGGTCAGAGTAAGATATGTCCATGTAGGAATCTGCCAAAGTAAAATTCATTAATAAACATTTTTATATTTAAAAATAAAACCTAAAAAAATTAAGAAAAGTTTAAGCTTTGAAAAGGAGCATCAGGCCATGTACAGATGACCTAAAAAAATTTAAAAAAAAAATTTAAATGGGACAAAAAATTACTGCTAAGAAAATCATAAACATGTAAAAGCTTGATTTTGAATAGTAGAAAAAACGCTTTCACAAGACAGCAGAACAAAGGACAGAAACTTTTTGGAGCTTCCTAAGAAGTGTTTGCACATAGCAAAGGTGCTTCTGAGGTGGGTAGCTCTTTTTTAGCTGCATAGTTCTAATTAGCTGTGACCACACTAAGAAATGCTGGGAAGATCAATGGAATGGCATGAGATGGCTCAGAAGGAGGGAAACATGAAATATTAATATTCAGAGAAGACTCTCATTATCATCTTATAACAAATACATTTCACTGTTCCTTGGAAACTTGTTTGTTTTATCACTCACTGTGTATAATGCAGAAGAGAAACTAAAGTATAGCGTAGGTATAATTTCAATAGTTTTTGAAAGGGAATTTGAAAATACCTTTGGCCTAGATTATATTAGTCATCCATATCTAGGATCACATACCGCTCTTATTAGGCTCCTAGGTGAGTTATCAGAAATGAAAATAGAATTCCGGGAAGAAAGTTTAAAAACTGTGAGACCTAGATCCTTTCCTTTTAAGTAGTGGAAATACCATAACATTGATCTACTCAATTTCCCTGCCCCATCTTCTGGATTGTGATATATTTCATTAAGAGCTTTTTTCATTGTACATGCAAAACTGGAATTTTATGAGGGAGTTAAAAAGCTCACATTCACACTTTCATGGTTGTCATTCCCTTTTGGTAGGCAAGCCTACCTTAAAGGAGTTGGAACAAAACAAGCAAATCCCACAAACCTTTGAGTTGTTTCAGAATGTGCAGTACTTTCTACTCCAAACTGCCCTTCACAATCCATCCCACGTAGCTTCCTGAAATAAGTTTTTCCTCTCTACGTTCCCAAGTGCTTTCCTCACCAGCTCTCTAACTGACTCACTGTTCCCATGGCACTCATATGGAGATAGAAAATGCAGGTTTAGTTGCACTGTTTTTCCCTTTTTAGATGAAAACTCAGCTGGAGGGAAAATACTTTAAGAATTTAAATCTTTTTGTAGAATAACATGAGATTTAGGGGGAACTTACCATTTTACATAAGCACACCACATATAGAACACAGTCATGTGGTTCAGTGCACTGGAATACTTTATTTGTACAGTTTAGAATTTTTTACTAACTACTGAACAGAAATTCGAGGAGTATTTCATGAGCCTGGCAGGACTGGATTTGTAGCAGTCTTGGAACAGCCTGCTCGGGAGGCTATTACTGAATCTTTTTCTAGGTAGATGCTATAAAGCTCTGTAAATTAATTCTCTGACTCCTTTGTGAATTTTAAATTCATGTGGAATGTGATTAGAGTTTGGAAGTAAGTTGATAATACTCTATTGCATAAAATACAAGAAAATCTCTAAATCCCCCAAAGACTTCTCTGTAAGAGTTGCTAATACTATCAAAAGATTTTGTTACAGTTCAGTATGTGCTTCCTGATGACAGGGCTCAAATTTCACTACAAAGAATAAAAGGTTATACTTTCCTGTATTCAGATTTGGAAATCTGAGGCAATATCACCAGATTGGGAGATTCCCATATGCCAACACCCCTGGAGAGAGATCTTATATGAATCTAAGAAGGCATCTTGAGGGTGTCCTAAAGATGCAGCTTCTAAATGGATCTTATGGGTGGGCTTCTTTCTTAGGCCCCCTCTTGCCATGGTTGATGATTAAGCACGTTAAGGCTCATCCAGGCTGCAGTGGGAATACGGGCGGGGGAGTGAGGGAGTAAACAGAGCAACACATGGATGACAGCAGTGGGTTGGAGCACAAAGATATCCATTGAAGACCCACTTTGCCACTAACAATCTGCATGACTCTTGACAAACCTCAGGCTAAACTTCCTCATCTCAAAAAGGAAAATAAACTAGACAGTGTTAAAACACACAATTAAAAATTCAGGTTATTTGTGAACCTTTTATTATATGCCAGGCACATTGCTAAGTGGTTTTCAAACCTTACTCCATTCATACCTCATCCTAGCAGTATGACTCCTACCTCATTTTTCTGGAAGGGAAAATGAGGCAAGTTTTGGTAACTCAAAGAACAATGAACAGCGGAGATGGAATTCAAATCCAGATTGTATGTCAACAAAAACCTGGCTCTCACCCATTGAACTGTAGGTCTCTATCAGGACTGTTACTAGAGTCTACTGGCAAAAGCAGAAAGAGGTCCATTCTCTCAAACCTTTGGGCCTTTCACAAAGACTCCAGGAGGCTTCCCTTCCATGCTTTCCCTTAAATTATGATGAGGAAGGAGAAGGAAAGTTTTGTTTTTCATACTGTGGTTGCTATAGCAAAAGGAAGCAGGTATCTTGGGACAGAATTTTTTCCCCAATTAATAGATACACAGAAAATGAGACTGAGGGCTCTTGGTTTCTGCCAAGCAGCAGTTGCATATTTGAGCAAAAGGCCTGAGTACAAAGTTCCCTGCACTTTTGAGTTCAAAATTAGCTATTCCCTTCCAACTTCAAAGTCTCACTTTGTAAACAGCTCCTTCTGTACAAAAGTAGCTTTCTGTGGATTATGACATTGAAGAAACTATTATTTTTCTCTTGATTTAATGCCTACCTGCTTGCAATTGTTGTGCTTTGCACCAGCTTTGGCATCCAGCATGATGGCAAAGAAAATGACTGTGAACCCATGGGCAGACATCCCTACATCATGTCCCATCAGCTCCAGTATGATCCAACCCCGCTGACCTGGTCCAAGTGCAGCAAGGAGTACATCACCCGCTTCTTGGAGTAAGTGACAGTACCTTTCTTGACACCTCCTCTTAGGTCTCTTTACAGAGCAGTTTGCGTTGAGTTTTGTGCAAAGGAGCTGATGCCTAGAGAATGCTCAGTTACACCCCTCAGGCTATAGTATCTTGGTTGCATCAAAGGGGTGGATTCCATGTCTGCTTTCCAACCCTGAGGTTTGGGTGGACTCTGCCCTCCTGCCACAGCCAAGTGCACATTCTGATTGCTCCTGCCCCAAGGTGACTTTCAAAAATCTGATTGTAAATTAAATTCCTGGAGACTGGCAGGAACAAACAGGACAAGTCAGAAGCATTCTACCAAACCATGATGAGGGTAAGATGATAATTGCTTAATCTTCCTACTGCTTATATTTCCTAGATAATAATTATAAACATAGCATGAGATAAGATTTGTATTTTCTATTGTCAACTTCCCCCCTGGGCCCAGAAGGTTCTCTGGTTTGTAAAAGTAAAACTGTTTTGAAGGACAAAAAGCAAATGAGAAGGATGAACGAATGAGTTGCTGAAGGAATTCATAAGCAACTGCTTTCATTTCTGTTACCTTGTTTGCAGCCGCGGCTGGGGGTTCTGTCTTGATGATGTCCCCAAAAAGAAAGGTTTGAAGTCCAAAGTCATTGCCCCTGGAGTGATTTATGATGTTCATCACCAGTGCCAACTCCAGTATGGCCCCAATGCTACCTTCTGCCAGGAAGTAGAAGTAAGTTCTAGGTATATTGGTACCTCTAATGGGTATAAGCAACCCTTGAGATCTCCAGAATATTGAAGGAAGAGCTATGGAATATTAGGAAATTTGAAAATCCAGACCCACAAATAGAAGCTTTATATATATGACAAGGTATAAGTGTACTTACATTTATGTGAGTTCAAGAACTTCATTCTTTCCACAATTCTGGTCACAAAGTTGGACAAGGACCGGATCAAATTCAGTGGTTAGGTTCAACGTGAACCTAGGTTCAATGTTGACCTAATAGATCCATTAGGTCAACACTGAACTTAACCATAAAATATATCTATAGATACAGATATATAGATATTGATATATAGATACATATCTATACATAAATATATAAGAAATTGCTATATCTTATGTATCTATATCTACATATGTATACTATATCTGTATATCTATATCTATCCAACTTTCTACCCTACGCAGGCCTTAAGCATCATCTCCTGTATTCAAGTGATCATTAAATCTAACACTAGATAACTAATGGTGGCTCTCTGCATTTACAGAGGCAAAATTTAGATAGATAGACAAACACTTCACCACATTTTTAGCCTCTGAGGAGTGAGTATCTTTAATTTCTTACCACCTCAAGAATGCATTTTATTCATGGTTTTAGAAGTTATACAGAGGATTTTTCAGGGTATCCTGCTGTTTATTGGAACTAGACCACTCTAGCTGTATCTGTTCAGTTCCTCTTTTAACACTGTTTACCTGTACTGAACAGCTTCTATTCCATGGAAGTGTCTCCAGAACTTTTCTGCACTACCTCCAGAACTTTGTGAGTTCTGGTTTCTTTGTATTATCCTTCCTATATGTCATTTGAGTCTCAGTTTAAATATCACTTTATTTTATTTTATTTTACTTTTAAAAATTTATTTATTTGCATTTAAAAGAAACTATTGACAAAGAATAATGAGAAATAATCTTGAACTAGTGGGAAAAAGAGTCAACACTACTGAAACACATTTTTTTTTCAACTGAACAAAGCCTCTTAGATGTTGTCAGTGACAACAATGAAAAAACTGACTGCTTCTTACTTTACTAAGCACATATCACTTTATATCTTATTTAGCATTTTTATAATCTGTATTAGACCACAGTATAAATATATATATATTATTTTCTTATTCACTAATCTATATTTTCTTCATATATTTTAAGCTTGCTGAGGAAATCTGTATCCCTGACATTCAGCAGTATGTAGTACATTGTACTACTCTCAGTAGCTAAGTTAGTGAAGACTTCAGATTCTTTTGCACTGTAGCCAAGATAAAATAGTCATTTCCTTTATCAAAAGCAAAATAAAAATATTAGAAAATATAGCATCATCCATCTTTTTTATAACTGTTTATTTTGAAATAGTTTAAAACCCAAGAAAGTTACAGAAATAGTAGAGAGTTTCTGTGTACCTTTCACCTGCCTCATCATCCTTTATAAATGCATAGCGAACTTACAAGAAAGTTAACAAAATTCTCAGAGTAAGGGGCAGGGAAGAACTAAGAAGGAGAGTACTGACTATGTGGTATTAAGGCAAAGTAGAAATAGCAAAAGAACTTGGACTTTAGCATCAAAATGAGAACTGATAATGACATGTTCTGTCTGAGCAGGGCCAACAACCTTACATAAAGCTGGACTTCTCAAAGGACTATTCTATACAAAAATGATGGGCTAAAACAAATCCAATTGCAAAAGGTTTGACAAAGGAGAGTCTTTTAGCTTAGCCTGGCTTCTGATGTGAAAAGAGGAAGGGAATGCTGGTGGATAACTTTCTCATTTGAAGATTCTTTGCTATAAGCCAGCTTGATCTTGAGTCAGAGTGCAAATTTCTACCCTATAGAGATGGAGTACTCTCATGCCAAAAAATAATAACAGTGATGACATTTGGCCAGTAATATCGTAGATACTGGGAATAAAGGTAAAACTGCCCTAGAGGAACCAACGCCCAATCAAGGTTCACAAAACTCCAGTAGAGAAACCCATTCTTCAAATGAGTTCACAATTCAGCCTCTAATTCAAAACAGAAAATTTTCTTCAGCTTCAAATAATGACCCCTCAAGAACCTTTGAAAATTTAATTTTTAACAGGAATAATAAAAAAATACATAAAATGACATCTGTATGTCAAAAGAGCACTAAACTCTATGAAAGGCAAATACAAAGAAAAACAGGTAGAACTTCTAGAAATGAAAAACATGATTAATGGCTTAAAATTTAATAAATAGAATGAACAGCAGACTTGACACAATTGAAGGGGAACATCAATTAAATGTCATTTAGAGCTGGAAAAATTACTTCCCATCCCACTTGGATGTTTCTAAGAGTTGTGTAAAGAAGAGGGAAAGTTCTTCAACTTCTCATACAATTTAGAGCTAGGAAATATGAAAGTCAAGTTAAAACATGAAAGACAGGAAAGGATGGTTCATCCACACCAATATGGGTTCTAGAATGAGAGAATGGAGAGGCAAAATTTAGGTAGATAAACACTGAGAATTTCCTAAAATTGTTTAAAATCAGAAATCTTGTGATGAATAGTGTATAGAAATGTCAGAAGAGGAGTGAATAGAAGAACGAAGACCTCAGAGGTAGCTCTAAGTAACTAAACCATGATGTATGAGAACCATGTCAATTTTTCCATATGAGCACAAGGGTAGAAGTAACAGAATATGCAGCTAAAATAAACTGATTACTTTGGGTAATGAACAAATAATCTGAATCTTTCTGAGTGGCATAGTTTCATTTCCTTCAGTGAGCAGTCTCAAGTTGTAAACACCCCAGCTGTTTGTAATCGACCAAAGTTTGAATTTTGCCTTTGATAGTTAATGTCATCAGTTATCTCCCCAAGTTTAGTAAGTGCTATGGTAGATATTGTCCCACACATAAATGATGGTCTTTATTTAAGAACTGGGTTTTATCATTCATTTCTATATTGCTTGGCATGGCCTACAGACATTGTTTATGAATGATGACAGAGACTAAGTAGAGTTTGAACTATGCCTCTAATGATTTACTTTTATTCACTAACAACAGTGGCATGTATGGCGGTGTCTATTTTACCATAATTGGAAAAATGGTTTTGTGCAAGTTTTAAAATCTGACAATTGTTTTCCAGAACATTTGCCAGACACTGTGGTGCTCAGTGCAAGGCTTCTGTCGCTCTAAGCTGGATGCTGCAGCAGACGGGACCCGATGTGGTGAGAAGAAGGTGAAATGTCAGCCTGAGGAAGGAAGATGGGAGGGTGGTAGGCTTAGAGCTCTTGGGTAGCTTTAAGGAGAAGGCCTGGGGAGAGGGACGAAGAAGCTCTCTCTAGGTAAAGACCTGTGAAAGGAGGTCACATAATCAGACAGCCAGCAGAGAGGATTCTGCTTCCACTAGGCTTTTGAGCCTTTACTGAGAGCAAGTAGTCAAAAAGAGAGGGCTGATCCCAACTGCACACTTCGCTTGCAAAACATCTGTCCCATCTTTCCCTGACAAACTTCTGTGGAGGTTCTGGTCAGCAGTATCTGCTGATGCTTTCATCAGCCTTCATCTTAACATTTTTCCTTTCCATCCTGCAGAACCATGAAGAACAAGTTCATATCTTCTTCTTCCCCAAAATATCAGATTTTGACAATTTAGAGGCTTTTTTCTCATTTTCTGACATTATTGTTTTTCTTGTAGTTCTACCTAATTCACCAAGCAAGAAAGTAATTCATGCAAGAATCCAGAGTCCTTAGATATCCTCCAGACTATCTGAGAACAGGAGACTCATGCAGCTCAACTAAGCCAGTTAGGTGTTTGTGGGCCTGGGGCTTAGGAGCTTAGTGAATATCTTTATGCAGCTTGAATGTGGCATGACCATCACTGAGACGATAGAACCTGATTAAAATCCCCAATAATTAGAAATAATGAGTGAAAAAAGAGTCTAGCAGATAAATGTCCCCAAATCCTCCAGGAAATTTGGCCATTCCAACAACTAAGTTTCATTTCTTTTGTTTTAATTTTTGTTTGTTCACTTTTCTTGCTTTGCAAAAAGATAAGGACCTTACACCTGAAATTAAATTAACTAAACAACTACGATATTAAGCATATTAAGCTGACATTCTTTCCATAGCAAGACTTTCTTTATGGATGAAGTAGTTACTGATTCGTATTCTAGGATGCAATCTGCTGGCCAGGCTTCCAGCAGCAATTCTGCACTGACTGTGACTAGACACTGTGAAGTACTCTTCGTCCCTGAAAATCTTTGATTCTAGAAATTGGGATTCTGGGGATACTATTTTATAAGCTCCTCTTTGTTTTATATCCTATATATGACTGTAGGAAGCATGCTTTCCTGGGGAGGATTGAGTTCCAGGGCTCTCGGCTCAGACTTCCTGACACATTCATCTCCTGCCTCTTTCCATTGTAGTGGTGCATGGCTGGCAAGTGCATCACAGTGGGGAAGAAACCAGAGAGCATCCCTGGAGGCTGGGGCCTCTGGTCACCCTGGTCCCACTGTTCCAGGACCTGTGGGGCTGGAGTCCAGAGTGCAGAGAGGCACTGCAACAACCCTGAGTAAGTCAGCCAAGTATATTTCCTTCCCTTCCTTCCATAAAGCCTGAAAGACCGGTCTTGAAGAGCATGGCTTCAGTGACTATACACCTCCTGAGGAAAATTAAATGGGTTTCCAAAGACAAAAAGGAACCAAAAGATTCACAGGAGATTGGAAAAAGTGGGTCTATTTTGTTTTAGTTTTACATTACAATCTTAATAGTACTTGGATAAGTATGCTGATTCTATTGTTTGGGGAAATAAAACAAATTTCTTTTCAATGTGCAGTCGATGGGAAAGCCTCTAGGAGAGTGTGCAGTTAAGTCCTTTGAGATAACTCTACTCATCAGTAAGAAATTTGTTATACCCAATTATAGAGATGAGACTGTAGCTTGCTTTCAGTCACGATGAGCATACAATTTTATAAAAATATTATTTTTCTCTTAGGTAACTAGTATAAGAGTTAAGCATGTTTTAGAAGACACTTATTTTTAATGCATTAGAAAAGGATTTGTAAACCTTAGAGTTCCACAGTAACCTGTTATGGATTCCATAGAGCTTATTTCACAAGTGGTTTTCTATTTTTCAAACAAATTGCTTAATTCTTCAATAAGCTTTGTAATGATAATATGTATGTATTAAGTTTACATTGGCTTGTTTTCCAAATATATATCACATTACTAGTTTTATTGCTTCCTGGTATACTAGTTCTCAAGTGAATAAATTTTCTTTTTTTGGTACCAGAGATCGAACTCAGGTCCTTGAGCTTGCGTGGCAGGCTGTGAAACCACTGAGCTAAATCCCCGGCCCTTTCAAGTGCATAATTTTCAACAGTGTACATGGATTTTCTGATAGAAGTAGAAATTATATTGTTTTACTTAGATTTGCCTTCGTCTGCCTTGAAAGGGTCACATTTTTAAAAGAAAAGTGATAGGGGCTGGGGATTTAGCTCAGTGGTTCCGGCACCTGCCTTGCAAGCGCAAGGTCCCGAGTTTGACCCATGGTACCAAAAAGTAATTTTAAAAAATAATAATTAAAAAAAAGGAAAGTGATAAAAGTAATTACAATTCCCTCAGTGTCTCAGTCCAGAGTATTTTCTTTCATTAATAAGTATATTACCATATATAACTATATATATATCTTCATGTATTATATACACACCATATTTATACTATATGTAAAATATAATCTTCTAAGGGTTAAGAAATTAAGAGTTTAACATGGTACCTATTGCATAATCAATTGTCAGTGAGTAGTAGCTATTATGATATGGTTATTTACCATACATATATGAATACATTTGTGGAATCCTGACACAACTTGTTTTAAAATTTTATCCTTCCAGTAGTCTCTGATTTCAAAACTTCAGTAATAAGAGTTTCTTATAGAATAGTTTATTTTTAAAGAGATCTTTATTTTGTAGTTTTTTTGTTTGATCAGAAATGTGTTACCCATTTAGAGATCAGGAAATACACACAAGTTGCTCTGTGACTTATTGTTTCAGTTCTGTGTATTAAGCCACCCCCCCACACACTTTCTTGGGAAGATGGTCAGTGACTACTGACTGTGGTTATCAGAAAAAGATACTAGGTGAGGCACAGAAGGATAGTTCTATAATTTGGCTTTGGGGGGACAGATGATCCTAACTCTCATCCTGAGATGGTAATTTATCAGACTCTCCTCAGGTGAATGAACTCATATCGCATCTGTAGCTAGTTTGCTTAATTAAGCTCACTAAAAACACTACCAAAGGGAATGTGGTCATATATTGAGCTCTGTGATTCTAGTCTCAGATTCAGGTCATTGTATGACCCAGTCTGCTGATAAGAGTCAATCAAAATATATGTACAAATTAATAAATTTTCTTCTTGCTGTAAAATTTTCTCAACCTTAAGACTTTGGTCTAGGACACTAGTCTACTGTCTGGTGAACACTCTAAAAGGCTTGGCTCAAAAGGGGATGTTACTGATATTTGTGGGATGGAAATGAGATCCCAGGTCACAGAATGTCACTGAGTCACTGTAGACAAAAAGCCAGGCTAACCTCGGATAATCAAGGACACTTCTGAGTTTTCCTACAGAGGGCCAATGAGTAAAGAGCCTGCTATGTATTTGACCTTCCTTGGTCAAAGCTCTTTCGTATGCAAGGAACAGAAATGTACTCAAGACATAGTAAGAATGGTGGGGAGGGACATATAGAATATCGCGTGGACATCAAAAAGAGCAAAGTACAGCAGAACTACACAAATGTAACAACTAGAATTTGGCTAGTCTATCAAGATTGCAGGTCTCTGTCTCAGAGGGCTGCATGTTCACTCAATGCAGCACAGGAGATAAGAGCTCAGGCTGTGGATTCAGGCAGATAAAGGTACAAATCCTAGCTTTGCCACCAGCAGCTGGGCACATTGGGAAGATGTCCTGGATTTATGTGCCTCTAGCATACGATTTCATCTCAACTGCTCATTTGGCACATTTTCTGCCTTTGCCCTGAGACTATTCTCCAGGACTGTCCTTTCCAGGAATCCTTTCCAACCAGCCTTACTTCCGTGGCCTTCTCTCTTCTACAAACTCTCATTGTATCAACAGTCAGAAATTATAGTTCTTCTCTTAATTTTTCTCTCATCTCTAGTTTGAGCACACAGTGGCATATAAATTCTAGTTGATTATCAATCACAAAACCAAAAGTTGCTTTCGTTTATTGAATTTTTACTACGTGTTAACTGAGATATTAGATCTTTATGTGCATTGTCCCACTAGATTTTTTATAAGTCATGAGATAAAAATTATGTTTATTTCATAAATTAAAAAAAAACACAGAGGCTCAGAGAGATAAAATAACTTGTTCAGAGTCATCTAACCACTAACATGGTAAAAGACAAATTCACACTTCAGACTTTTGGCCCTGTTATGCTGCACTGCCATGGTAGTTGCAACACTTCACTCAGATGAAGTCAGGTGGAGTCAAGAAGGCTTATGTGGACTACCTGGGAACCTTCCCAAAGGATGCTCAGCTCCTCCACTTTCCGTGATAAATTTCATGGTACAAACTTCTCCTGTTTCAAATGCTCTTGATGGGAAAGTTGCTACATCTCAAATGTATTGTGAAGGAAATAAAAGGTTGATAATATCTTCTAAAGTAAGATTATTCATTTATTGAATGTTTAAGACCTTTCTATACTCAAAGTATTCCTTAGGCACCTTAGAGGACATGCAACATGGATTGGGTCATCCATTAACTATTTTAGAAGTAAGTTTAGTTTTTATAGAATTTTCATTTTTTTTGTTAGAGTGTGTTTGTAGGACATAATGTTTACATTCCTTGTGGAAAGTTGGCAAATGTGTGTAACATCTTAATTCCTTTTATCATCCCCTTTCCCTTCCCTCCCTCTTCATTTCCTCCATCTCTTGATCCTCTTCTTATTTGAGAAAGATTTATCTCTGTACTTCCTATTATCTATCTTTTATTTTGTTCTTTATATTTTGAGTTTTTCATAAAGAGAAGCCATGAGATATATAGGCTTGTGTATCTGATTCATTTCATTTACCACTATGGTCTCAAGGTACATTCATTTTCCTAAAAATGACTCAAATGTATTTTTCTTTATGGCAGAATAATACTCCATTGTGTGTAAATAGCACATTTTCTTTATCCATTCATCTGTTGATGGACATATAGGCTGCTTTGAAGTTTTAGCTGTTATGAATTGTGCTGTTATAATCATGGATATATATGTATCGCTGTAATATGATGTCTTTAACTCTTTGGAGAAGATATTTAGAAGAGAAATAGCTGGTTAGATGAAATTTCTAGTTTTAATCTCTTGAAGAATCACCATACTGATTTCCATAGTGATTTTACTAATTTACATTCTTATCAACAATGTAGTGGGTTCATTTTCCCCTGCAGCCTCACCAGCATTTGTTATTTTTTGATTTTTTTTTTTATGATGGCCATATTTTCTGGGGTAAGATGAAGTTTCAGTGTTGTTTTAATTTGCAGTTTTCTAATGGCCAGTGATATTGAACATTACTTCATATATTGATCGACTATTTGTACTTCTTCTTCTGTGAAGTGTTCTCATTTCACCTGCCAATTTCTAGATTAGTCTAGACATTAGTCCTCTGTCTGAGAAATAAATGGCCAAATTTTTTCCCATTCTGTAGGTTGTTTCTCTACGCTGTTGATTATTTTCTTTGCCATGCAGAAGCTTTTTAATTTGCTATGATTGGTTGATTCTTGGTACTATTTTCTATGCAACCAGGGTTCTATTCAGAAAGTCCTTGCTTATACATATGCCTTTAAGAGTTTTACTTATTTTATCTTCCAGCAAGTTAAGTGTTTCTGTTTTAACATTTAGTTCTTTGCTCCATTTTTATTTTAGTTTAGTGCATGGTAAGAAATATGAGTATAGATTCAATCTTCTGCATGTTGATAGCTAATTTTCCTAGCTCCATTTATTAAAGAGGTTATCTTTTCTTCAGTGCATGTTTTTAGCCTCCTTTTCAAAGATCAAATAGTTGAATTGCCTGGAATTGTTTCTGTGTCCTCTATTTTGTTCCATTGATCCTCATGTCCGCTTTTTTACCCCCAAGACTATGATGCTTTTGTCACTGTGCCTTTTTAGTGTAACTTCATGTCCAGGATTGTGATATCTCCTACTTTTCTCATTATTCAGGGTTATTTTTGCTATTTTGAGTCTCTTCTGGTTCCATATGAATTTTAGGAGTGTTTTCTACAGTTCTATGAAAAAAATGCTGTTGGTATTCTGATTAGGATTGCATTAAAACTACAGTCTGAAAAAGGAAATCAAAATGGACATTAGAAAATGCAAAGACATCCCCTGTTTCTTAATGAGTATAAGTTTAAAGAGTGCTTAGAGTTGTTGTATGAAATGCCATTTAAAAGGAGAAAGAGCTTCCTTCTGATTGGAGTGCAGGAATAATCCATGATGGAGGTAGGACTTATTTAGGCCTTAGGGTACAGTCTGTAGACATGTGAAGACTAAGGAGAAAGAAAGGCTACCCAGAGGCAGAGGAAAACAAACTGTAAATAAGGAAACTCATACCACTGGAGCAGTGAGTGTACAGAGGAAGGGAACTGGGAAATAAGGGTTGTTCAAGTGAGTTAAGCCAGATCATGAGGGCCCACAGTGCCAGACTCAAAAGGCTGGACTTGATGCTAAGGCCACTGGGTGCCATTAAGTTTTTTAAAACAGGAAACTAAAATAGTTAAGACAATCTAAAAAAATTACCCAGATAATACTCTATAAAGTGGATTGAATGAAGAAAAAGTAGGCAAAGGAAGACAGGAATGAAGACAAGTGCTGGACTTGTTTGGTGACTGTGGGATTGAGGAGAGGGAAATAAATACAAAAATACAATTGATACCCAGGCACCTGATTAATTATAGTATTCAAAGAAGTCAAAGAATGAATAATCCTGAAATCTGATCACTGTTAATTTGCTAAATGGGAATCAGAGAAGAGAGAAGCATGGTTCAGCAAGGCACAGGCATGGCTAGACTTTTAAAAGAAAATGTTGGACTTTCAGAGAACTAAAAGAATAGCTTGTCTGTTTCATTTCTAGACCAAAGTTTGGAGGGAAATACTGTACTGGAGAAAGAAAACGTTATCGCTTGTGCAACGTCCACCCCTGTCGCACAGAAGTACCAACATTTCGACAGATGCAATGCAGCGAATTTGACACCATTCCCTACAAAAATGAATTCTACCACTGGTTTCCTGTTTTTAATCAAGGTTAGTAGCTCTGTAGTAATTCTCAGATCTAGGACCACATTCGTATGTCAGGGTTCCTGTGATGCCCTGTTAAGTTCAACAAAGAGGAACTGAACCATCAGGAGTTTTATATTTTAGAAGATGGTAGCACTGATCTGGTCAAGTTGATGAGTAAATGTTGAAGGCTGAATACATTCAATTCTACTATGTGGGAGATGAAAGAGAAGTTTATCAAACATGGTGACTTGCTTTAAGACAACTGAGGTGCAACTGGGTGGTAAATGGGACATGTAGGTATTCAGATACTAACTGCTTATGGATAACCATGTGGAATGGTCTGCAATTTTGGCAGAAATTCAGAACAAAAGGTCATTGTGGATTTGGGGTAGTTTCAAAGAGGTTTCAAAGGAAGCAATGAATGATTCTAAAGAATGAGTAGTGTTCCTACTGAAAGAAGAAAAAGAGGAAGCATTCAAAGTCATTCCAAGTGGGAGGAAAATAGCATGAAGAAAGGCAAGATAATAGGGGTGCCTTCATCAAAAATGAGTGAGAGCAAGGAAGAGAAATCCATGTTTCATAAGTACAGAACAAGATGAGAAAGTAAAAAGCAAAAGAGAATAAGAATGCCTATCAGGGACCTAACTGACTTGGAGAATGTTAATTAACAGCAGATTTGGCAAAACTTCCCTCTCAGAACCAGTTACACATTTTCCCCTGAAAATGAAGAAGAATCTGTGATCATTAGTTACAGACTAACATCAGAAGCCATCTTATCTGTGCTATATGTTGTTATTAGAGTGAGACGTGAAAAAAGAAAAATTTTCCTGAGCTAAGGAGATTTGAAGCAATGCAGAAAGAAATACCTCATCAAATCCGTCATGATTTATAACTTCCTCCATTAAGATCATTATCCAAAAACGTAGTGCCATCCTGTTTCAGCAAAATTGAAAGTGCAGCATTTGATTCAATATCATTCACTTACCTGAGCTTCCTTTGAGAGGATTAATCAAGCCAGTGTGAGGGTGAGTTCACCAGTAGATTAGTTTTCGTGCTTTTGCTTAGTGGAATTCCAAGTGGACTTGAAATCTTTTGAAAGCTGAAGGGGATAAAAATCACCTGGTATGCACAAAAGGATATGTCAGAGCAGATGGATAAATGTAAAAACAAAGATAATATATAGTGCTACAGAGGTGATAAAATCTACAGGGTTGACCTTTGGAACAGAAAATGTCTTATACCCATGATTACCAGTGAGAATCAATTTCATCCATTACCACTATTAACCTAAAACAAAGGCCAAAGAAAGAGGGTAAAGGGAAGCAGGATTTTAAGCTCAGCCTTAAAACTGCTTAAACAGAACCCAACCTGCGATATGCAGTGGCTGCTTCAAGCACAGGTTCCTCTGTGGTCTTAGGCACACCTATGCTCTGCAAAGTCACAGAGGTGGCTCTGTGATCTGTTCCTGTTGCCCCAACATTATTTACTAGATATTTCTAAGGCTACATAGACCATTGCACTTATATTCACTGGGCATTTCTGTTTTATGTGCAGTGCTCACTATTTAAACTGTCTAAACTTAGAGGATGACTAGCCCTATACTGGGCAAGTAGATGGGGAGAAGTTTCAAAACAAGGACCTTTCTTCATGGAAGTGTGTCATGATTGTCATAAAGAAAAGAGACTATTCCAGTTTCCTTGTCTGAGCATAATATTTTTAAAGGAATATATATGTCTTATAACAATGCAAGTGTACATAGTAGAATAAAATGAAAATAAATTCCTGTATCTCACCACACTTAGCCTATTCCTCAGACATAACCATTGTTAAGAGTATTTTTGTTTGTACAACAGTAGAATCATCTTTCTTAGACATTACAGCTTTGCTGACCACCGAGCAAGGGATCATAGTATCAGGGTTTTACATCATTGCTCTCAATGACCACATAGCATTGCTTTGTCCATTTCTCTCTGAATAAGCATTTCATTGTACCATGAATGTCTTTAATTTCTATCACTAAGGTTGATATTCATTTTTAAGACTCCTGCACTGATATTCTCTTAGGATTGAAAAGATATCTCTGATGCTTGTTCCAAAAATTTCTCCCTCCAGTGTTGATCACTGTCACATCTGTTAATTGGTAGAGATTGATTAAAAGCCCTTTCTGGAAGTAATGTTCTGCTAGCAATCACCTGGAGAGATTAATGGTAACTACCATGTTATCCTTCTAAAAGTCCCTGTGCACACTAGAGAGTGGGAAGCTTTGGCAAGGTTTAAGATCAGAGACAGGGTTTGAAGCTTTATGAATCTAACTCTAATGCCTCCAGTTCTGCAGGCTGCATTCTTTCTGACTCTCCTGAGCTTAGCAACCCTCAGACCTCCATGGCTGCTAGTAGCAGATCCATATACAGATATGACTTGTGTACTCTTCAGACATGCATTTTTTTAAAAGTGCCTTTAAAATCCCTATTCTTGTAATTGTAGACTGCAAAGGACCTTAGTAGTTATTGTACAACTGGAATATCTTCGACTGAGGTCTATAATCATAGGAAAAGAAAATTATGAAACCACCTGAGCAGGATCTAGAATTCTTTACATTAAATTTACAAGATACCAATTATTTACAAAGTAGTAAAACAAAGCATAAATTTAATACAGAACTGATTAATAGTGGAATAATGAAGTAAGCTGCAGAGGAAGAGGATATCTCAGGAAGTTTGTTTTTTGTTGTTGTTTTGTTTTGTTTTGGAATTAAGATTGAGCCAAATTTATTCTTTTAGAAGCATAGAATGCCAAGGCTACTTACAAGGGCCTTTGTAATTCCTTGAATTCATGATAAGGACATGAAAATACCTGTCGCTTCTTGAGCATGTACTATATACTATATATGCTGAGTGTTTGACTGCCTCTCTGTCTTTATTGTCACAATTACCTTGCAAGATAGGTATTATTATCTTCATTTTTCAAATGAAGAAATTGATACATAGAAAGATTTAAGTCACTTTCTCAAGAGAATTTTAGATTTTCAAGAATCAAACCTTTTAAATATGCTGTCTGTAGAAGTAAGTGGTCCTGGGCCTTGTATTTTCCCTGTACTCAATGTCCTGTGGGAGAATGGATTTTGAATTAAAATGGGACACAGTAAGCATGCTACCAAATTTCCTTGTTCTATTCCTGTTATGATTCATCAATAAAATATTATCTCTTAATATGAAGAATGATTAAAGTTCTCATGAAAGACATTTGTTTTTTCATGAAAAAAATTTTTGTGTCTGTAGGTTAGAAGTCAGCAGTGTAGGCTCTGAAACTAAACCAGTTTGGTGCTTTAGTTCTGCCATTCATCCTTGGAGGTCTTGAAAAACTTAATAATGCTATACTAAATTTTCTCATCTGTGAAATAGGTGATAAAAGAACTGACTGCATAAAATGGTTATGATTGTTGAAAAGATAACTACTATAAAGCAAAACCAAATCTGAGAAATAACGTTCAAGTAATATAATAGCTGTTTTTTTAAGCAAAGTTCCTTCTAATTCACTATATAAACAATGGTAGTAACATCTCGGGGTTTTTTTTATTCTTCAGAAAGTGGGTCAAAAAGTGCAAACCCACCATACTAAGCCAAACACTGGCACTTGAAGACAAATATTGCATTGTCACCATTCTGGAACTCAGTGCCACACTTATTACTGGATGGAGGATTATTCTGTATGAGGATCCACTTAAAAAATCAATTAAGAGCAAAGATCTTAAGTTTCACATCCTCTGCGTCCCCAGTCTTGGGCCTTTACCAGCATCTTTGAAATAAACAACTTTTCAAAGAAAAGCTCCAGAATTACTCAGGGCTGTTTTCCTTTCTTCTTAGGTGTCCAAATATAAAATCCTAAATCTGAATTTTAAAGCTCAAGGCAAAGTGTTAATGAAATGGTTCCCTGCGTTCAGCACCCAGATGGATATTCTGATTACTCAGAGAGATCAGCTCCTGAGTGACTCTATATGTACTTCTGCTACAGTTTGGGTACTGACAATGCTAATTATAGTGCCAGAAGGGAGACATACAATAACTCCAAGTTGTGCTTTTTCCTCAGAGTCTTCTGGCCCTTTTCAATTGTGCTTTGTCCACTGATAGCTTTAATTCATTTTGATTTTGCTTGTCTTTTTTGTCACCTTATATAAAATCAGTGTATTTTCTGCGTTTGTGATTACCTTTGTCCTTTAAGCTTTGAACATTTGCGTTTGAGTCTTTTTCATCTAGAGTTTTGGTCAGAGTTCAGAACTTGTGCTCTTTAACATGTTTGTATGTTTTACAATTGTATTTCCTTGCCATATGGATTACTGGATCCCTGAACAGATATAGTTAGCACAATGCACTCTGTCTTTGCATTTGATTCACATCCGCACTGAGAAGGGCCCGTAACAAATGCCCTCACAGCTAATATCAGTGAGCCCTCACCTGGTCACAGCATTAAGAAACTTACCAGTGCTCCCCACAATAAACAGATCCAAGGAGATTTCTAAATGGACTCTGAAGGAAACAGTCTCCAGTTTTGGGGGTTTTTTTGCTTTAAAAAGAACACATGAGATAAGCAGGGTTGGCTTCAGCTTCAGCAAAAAATCAAGTCCTATGTGACTATCAATCTGTGTCCAAGCTCTTCTTGAACTTGAGAAGAATATGTACTAATATTTGTTGGGGATGGTGGTAACAGTATTATTTATAAACTGACACCATGAGAGGACTATACTCTCCCATGGAGGTCTATACTTTGCCCTAAACAGTGAGTAGGCATCATGCTTTCCCGGAATCCTACACCACTGATTCCTCTCATGTAACTTCTAGGTTGACACTAGATGCCTACTGCCTTATTTTTACAAGCACAGTCTGATAGTTCAATGTTGGATTGCAAGTTCTCATCATCTGTCACAAACAGCAAATAGCATTTTAAAGTGATCTTCTAAATTTAATTAGTTATAAAACTCTTAAACTGAAAAAGAAAGAAAAAAAATGCCCACATCTTAGCATGAGTCTCAGAAAGAGAAAAGACACCAGATTAAATGTCACTGTGGGTCCTGAATACAAAGGATTCCTGGGAGAAAGGTGCTGAGCTAAAAAGCTAACATGTCTTTTTCTCACTTCAGCGCATCCTTGTGGGCTCTACTGCCGACCCATAGATGGCCAATTTTCTGAAAAAATGCTGGATGCTGTCATTGATGGCACCCCTTGCTTTGAAGGTGGCAACAGCAGAAATGTCTGTATTAATGGCATATGTAAGGTATTGGGTATGTTTCCTTAATCTACAACTTTATAAAATCCTGATTTTTGTTAATATAAGAAATTAGATATTCTGAGCTTATGTTTTTATGGCATTTGCATGTGATCTGGTTTTTATATGTGGTCTGAGAGACAAGATTTCTTAGTGTTCATCAAAAACACAATTTTGACTAGAATAGCTTTTTTTTCCCTGCTGTCCCTCATTTGTTGATGTTCACCATGATATTACATTAGGCATTAAAGCAGAGTCAAACTGAAGAACCAAGCTAAAAGAAGAATTATAGGAAGAGATAACCCAGATAATCCCAGGACCATTAAATTTCATAAAATCTGAAATTATAGTGCTTTCCACAAAGCATTTTAGCATTTAATTCTTCACTGATTGTCAACAAGAGCTGCAAAATGACAAAATGACAGGTAATTAGAATCCTGGGGTCTATGTAATTTTTCTACACTCTTGCCTTTGATCAACTCCATCTTTATATAAATTATTTAGATCCAATATGTTAATGCTCTTAAGTATAAAACCATTAAAGAATTCCTTCTTATTGCTTGCAGTTTATTTTGCAAGGAACAGAGGAACATGTCTTCTGATCAATCCCCAGGAATAAATTTCAATTTAAAGAGGTGTTTTTAATCAATTAAAGGAAAACTGTATAGTAATACCTAACTGATAATAAAGTTCAATGGTTTAATGCTGGGGCTCTAGGCTTTAAAATCAGTCCCATCATTTACCAGCTTTATGGTCCTGCATATCTTTCTAAGACTCAATTATCTGTCTTAAAATTGGGATATGAATGTATCTACATAGTAGGCATTGTCAAAAAGATTAATAAGGTCATGTATGTAAAGCCCTTGAGAAAAGCCCTAGTGTACAATAAACGTAATATATTTTGTTTCTGCAAAAATCTATCATAATTTTTCCCTACTGAATAAAGTGATCCTCACGAAAAGCTATTACTTACAAATGTTCAGTATCCTTGGAAGCTGCATTTAACTCCTTGGACTTCATTTTCTGTTTAGTTGATTGGTGACCAAAGTAATAAGAGGCAAGGTGATAATTCTCAGGCACAAATAACCTAACAAATAGCCATAATCAGACTCCAAACTTTAAAAATCCCAGGCAAAATTTTCTTTTAAACCATCATTGTAGCTACAGAAAGCCAAAAATAACATATATTCAATCAGGTCTGTTTCTGAGAGAGGGAGGGTGTTTATCTAGATAATTCAGATCAAAACAATGCCAATTCTGTCTAAAGCTGTGGTTTTCATTGTTGGCTACATCTTAGACTCACCTGGAAAGCTTTAAAAATTAGTTACTTCTGGCTGCTATTTCAAACCTACTCATTCAGAATTTTGGGGGCTTGGGCTCTAGGCATAAATATTTTAAAATCTCCCCAGTTATTAGTAAATGCAGTTAGCGCTGAGAACCGTAGTCACAAAGAAATGAAGGTGATACTAAAATTATCTTTTATTTATTGATTATTATGTTCGCAGGACATAATGATTACATTCATTATGGGGTGCTGGGACGTGTTCATAAGTCATCTTCATTCTTTTTTATTCCCTTCACCTCCTCTACCTCCCCCCTCCCTCCATCTCTTCGTCTCCTTCCCTTTTGCAAAAGATCCAGCTCCCTGTTTCCTGTTACCACTGTCTACACTTTGCTTTGCTTTTTATTTATAATTTAGACAAAAGTAAATTTACACGTATAAAGACAGAATCTTCAGCTTGCATTGATCCAAAGAACAAAATATAGAGAGTCTTGGGTATCTCTATTAAAACCAATTAAATGAACTTAATAGAATAAGTCAGGTTCTCTTTGGTTGTCATCCTCTTCCTTGGACTCAGTGAAGATCATTTAGAAGCTATAATTGCCCCTTTTTTCTATGATACACTGAGTTAAGTTGTTAAGTTTAAAAATTGCTGTCAAATCACAATAAACCTAGTAGCTTAGAACCTATCTTTCCAAGGTCCAGGTTATATGTATTTTCAGCCTTCTTAGTCACCTTATTTATTATTATAGGTTTTTATTTGTTTTTAATAAGTATTTATCTATATAACTTACATTGAAAACTATAAATCTGCAATTTTTAACTTGATCAGTATATGTTTTCAATACATGATAATCACATTCATTTGGGGGACTTCAAAATAGTACATTTATAAAGAAATCTGTAGATATATGACAGAACAATTTTATCAGGACAAAAAAAGGCTTTTGTTTTTTGTCATAATATAGGTTTTTCGAGAGAAATTAAACATGTATTGAAATAAAAAGATACACCTTCAAAAATGTATACAGTGTTTTTCTAATCGACCTTCTTTGTGGAAGTGAAACAATGTGTTTAAGAAGTATTAATTATTATTACCAAGAGTTCATTCAACTCTGAAAAAATACACTGGAAACATTTGAGGGGTATGAAGGGAAGAATGAGGTCTTTAACATGACGGGGGTGCTTTATTAAGGAAGTTTGGGTCTATCTTTAGGGCCATGGGATCCATCAAAGAGCTGAAGAGGGAAGTGACATAAGAATTTGAATATAATTTTGGAAAACTACATAACCTCTCTGAATTAGTTTTTCCATCCTAAATGGGAAAAACAATTCTATGTTGGTTTCCTGGGGCTGCCATAAAAAATTGCCGTGGACTGGGTGGTTTACAATAACAAAAAGTATTTTCTTATAGTTCTGAAAGCTAAAAGTCTAAAATCAAGTTGTCAGCAACCCTCCAAAGGCTTTCAGGAGAACCATTCCTTGACTCTTCCTAGCTTCTGGTGGTTACTGACAGCTTTTGACATTCTCAACTTGTAGCTACATTACTCCAATTTCTGCCATTACTGCAGACCTCTGCAGTAGGTTCCCGTCTCCTACCCAGTGTAGGACACAAGGTTGAAGAAAGACTCAAAGACAGAATTAAAGCAAAAGGCCAGAAATCTAGTGCTAAGTAACCAGCAAAAGCCCTGGCAAGCCATTGCTATTTATTGATGACATCACGGTTATATTGGGGTAAAAGGCCGTGAGGGGCCGTGCAGTTGCTATGGACACATTACTGATGCAAGCAAGGCTTGCAAATGAAAAGGCAAAGCATTCTTGAATTAGTAACGGAATAGACAGAATATAGGGTTGTGATCAGAACCTTGCCCTTGTAGTTAAGACGGTTTTAATTGTGGGAACGGAATTTGAGTAAGAGTCACTCTGACCTCGGAATGTAGGCTTCGGCCAGACTCACTTCTCAAAACAAGCCAGTGTGGGGTTAACTCCTTACAGCCTGCCTTGCTTACAGCCTGCCTTGGGCATAATCAATACAGCGGTCCATCCCCCACCTGCTTTCATCTTTACAATGGCAGTCTTCCTGCTGTGTGTCTCTCTCTCCAAATTTCTCTTTGTCAGGACACAAATTATTGGATTTTGGGCCACCTTAAACCACTATGACCTCATCCTAGTTTGATTATATCTTCAGAGATCCTATGTCCAAATAATATTACATTCACAGGTTTCTGGGGGAAAAAAACTTCAGTGTGTCTTTTAGGGGACAGAACTTGATTTAGAATTACCAACCTTGAAAAATCACAGTGAGTAAAGACTTATACAACTATGCCATTCATTAAGTGGCAATATCATGTCCCTTTCAGCTAAGCATAGCTCTGTCTTATGTTCACACTTAAAGTTTTATTGACTGGAAATGAATCTCACCTTAGAACAAGGATTTTTCCAGTCTTTCCTTTCCAAAGGAAAGAAATGGTGACATTCCAGGGTAATTAGGTTAGGTCATGGTACCAGTTATTATTCATTTCAGTTCTCAGTTGGTTGAGGGTTTCCAAAGTAAAACAGTGTTGGACACAGAGAGAGAGAGAAAAAGATAGAGAGGCAGACAGACAGAGACAGAAAGAAAATTAGTATGAATTAATACTGCTTATCCATTCATTAAGGGCTAAATACCTGGTGAGTTTGGAACCTGATTTCCTGGGTAATACTCAAGATAGAATGCTTTTCAGTGCAGTTCTTTCAGGGTCAAGAATTGATGATATCATGGGAAATGAGTGTTTTTATTTTTCAAAAATGTTCCCCTTTGGGGAAGTGGCTGGTTCCTAGTTGTAACATCATAAAAGAGCCATGCTGAGGTCATTACCCATACGTAGTAGAAGCAGCAGAGCCACCTCTTGAGTCCACCAAAGGCAGAAAGACCATATTAAAGGAGGAGGAGGAGGAAGAAGGTGGAGGAGGAGGACGACGAGGAGGACAAGGAGAAGAAGAAGAAGAAAGAAAAGCAAGAAAGACCACCCTGTTGTGAATCCTGTTGCCACAGCATGTATTGTGCAATCTATTTCTTTTCCGCTGAGACCCTTTATGTTCTATATGCATCAGGGAGGCTGGTTTATCCTTCACAGAACTTCTGTTATATACTTCATTCAGTTTGATTGTACTCTGTACAGCTTTCAGGGGAAACAAATTGGATGAGGTTTGCACAAGCACCCATTCAGTATGCAAGGAGATGACACAGTGAGGACATATGTGTGTTTCCTCTCCCCCAACCCTTGACCCCAGTTATGTGGGCTAATATTTCTAGAGAAACAGTCCCACCCACTGAGAAGAAAGATGAGATTTATGGATTTGTTTTCTGGCTTGCTTCCTTTATTCTTCATATTTTAAATCTATTTCTGTCTTGGTAGAGATTGAAGAAAACACTTTAAAATTTATATGTCTCAGAGTAAGTTTCCCTGGCTCACTCCAAATCAGTGAAGAAATGAAGGTCACTGGGACTAGGATTTGTAAAGGTCAGCTTATTAGAAGATGCTCAAGCTTGACATAAACATATCATTTGTGAAGAGTTGGCATTTTACTCCTAACCACTGCAGGACCGTGTCCAGAACATTTTTTCTTTCTATCGTGATTGGTATAATTAAGATTTGGATTTTTAAAATTTTCTTAGCAATTTATTTATTTCCTCACTGGGTCAAGTGGCACAATCTTTGTACCTACAGGAAATTAAAGACAGTTAATCTGAAAAGTTGAGCTATTTTCTGTCAGTGAGGATTAATTCTCTGTTTTAGCTGGCAGAGGGGTTAAGGACTCAAACTATTCTTATTTTCGGTAGATTTGAGGTAACTTTAAAATTAGAAAGAAAATTATCTTTGAAACCAGGCATGTGGAGCACACCTATAATCCCAGCACTCTGATAAGCTGAGGAAGTAGGATCACAAATTTGAGACCAGCCTGAGCAACTGAGCAACTTAGCAAAACCTTGTATCAAAATAAAATATAAAAAAGAGGCTAGCGGGGAGTGGCTCAGTGTGAAGGTTCTAGGTTCAATCTTCAATACAAAAGAAAAAAAGGGAAGAAAAGAAAAAAGAAAGAAAGCCATAAAGAAGGATAAACTTGAGTCATTTGTAGAAAAATGGATGCATCTTGAGACCATACTGTTAAGTGAAATAAATCAGACACACAAGCTTAAATGACACACAAGCTTTCTCTTATATGAGAAACACAAAATACAAATTAATTAAAAAGCAAAATAAAGGATAATAGGAAACAGAGAGATCTTTTACAAAAGGGAAGGAAATCGATATAAAGAGAGGGAAGGGAAAAGGGATAAAAAAGAATTAAGATGTGTTATGTACATGTACCAATTCCATACATGAATGTAATCATTATGTACTGAAACATAGTAATACAAATAAAAATTAACAAAAGAAAGATAATTATTTTTGAGAAGAAAAAGAACCCACCTGGGTACATTTTTTCCTCCTAAGCAGGAAAGAAACTTATGAGTAAAGGAATACAGTGTAGTTTTCTATGTAGCTGTGGAAGATAGCAGGGGAAAGAGAAGTCTAATCGACTTTCCATGTTATGTTTCATGACTTCCAACCTAGGTGTTCTGATATTTTGGGACCCAATATTACAGAAAACTCCCAAGTTTTATCATACCCTTTTTTCAAGCTGGAATTTTAGGATGGGAAAGACTTGGCCATGTTAACAGATGGAAGGGAAAGTGGAGAGGGAAAGATAATGATTCAAGAGGACCACTGGACAGCACCCTGAGTGTGGATTGGTTCCAGGGCACAGAAACAAAATTTACCTTTTTCCAGAGGAGGAAGAAGAAATTCTTTCTTGCAGCTGGAGGGAGGGAGGTCAAGATGACTGAGATATGTTTAAGTACACTGAGGCTAGAGGTTGTGGGAGGCACCCAAGGAGGTGATGATGAGCCTGAAGGTAGAGATTTCATTCCTCTTGGGACTGGAATCATCTCAGCATTAAGCCAATTTCTTCCAGTGGTTGTTGGTTTATCTACTGTTCTAAGACAGAAACTGGAAAGAGTAACTCCAGTGAAGAATGCAAAGGGATTGAACAACCAAATTACAGATGGAGTAGTTATATCACCCACTGGACAGTCTCCATAGATATGAAACAGTGTGAGCTCTGAACATCTGAAGAGATTTTTTGCTCCACCAACTCGAATTCCAGGACATTTTTGAAGTTAGGTCTTTGTACCTGTGTTTGATCATACCTCTCACTATCCTAAGGAAATACAGTTACCCCTCTGTGTCCATTAGTTCTCTATTTCTGAAATTTAACCAACCTCAAATAGAAAATATTCAAAAATATGTCTTACTGAACAAGTACAGACTTTTTTCTTGTTGTTATTCCCTAGATAATACAGTGTAACAACTATTTACACAATATTTACATTTTGTTAGATATCCAAGAGATCTAGAAATGGTTTAAAGTAATGGGAGGATGTACAGAGGTTATGCGCAATACTATACCATTTTATTTAAAGGAGTTGAGCATCTGCAAATTTTGGTATCCATAGGTATGCTGAAGCCAATCCCCATAGATATGGGGAGGTGAGTCTATTACCTTTACAGCTTTAGTTATTATTCTGGCTGCCACCAGGAAAAGGAAAAAACTGCTTGTCCTTTACCTTTGCACCTGCCTACTCAAGCTTATTAAGAACAAAGGGCCAATGGACAAGTCATGGATCAGGGAAGGTGTGGTACCTCCTACCTGTGTCATTCATCCTGATCTTTCTTCCCCACAGATGGTTGGCTGTGATTATGAGATTGATTCCAATGCCACAGAGGACCGCTGTGGTGTATGCCTGGGAGATGGCTCTGCCTGCCAGACTGTGAGGAAGATGTTTACACAGAAAGAAGGATCTGGTAATAAACAAATAAATAACTGAAGTGGTAGGGAACTCAGATTGCAGTGTCAGAAAAGTAATTGATTCCTAGTTTTTGTTTTAAAAAAACAACAGCTTCTAACTTTCAATGAATTCAAAATGAAATTTACACTCACTAATGAAGGTATATGAGCTCCTTGGGAATTTTTGGGAAAGGGGTTGATTGCTAAGCAAATACAGGAGGGACCACACTGACAGAGAGGTGAGAACGGGCCTGGTGTCTGCTCCTGGGAACAGTGATAACAGTGTAATACTGAGAGAGGATCCTCTTTGGGAATAGGGATCAGGAGAGGATCTTGGGCTAACGGCCAGTGACATTGGAACAGGCCAAAAGCTAGAGGAAAGAAGAAGCAAAAGCTGCGTGCAAAGGATGAAGACTCAATACCTGATTCTGTATGTGGGGGCAGATAAACTGCAGTGGATTTGAAGGCAGAAGGATTGTGCCTTAGGGCCAGCCATGGGAGAAGCAAGGTATTCCTTCAGCTGTGTCTCACTTTCAATTGTTCCCCGCAACTGGGTTCCACTTAGTGGCTCCTCAAGACTATCAAGGCAGTTCTTCCACCTACTATCTCCCTTTTTACTCACACTTTATTATTCTTTTCCTATAAATATCCTTCGTGATGTTTCTTCTTTGTGTAGCTTTGAGCTACCACAGTACTGGAGGAGAGAAGAATCTACCCTCACTACAAACTAGTTATGACCTGGTACAGATTTTCCTGCAGTTAAAATAGTTTCATAGTCCCCTAGATCTGGGATTTGGGAGAAGAGCTAAGGGTTTGGAGATGATGAAGACTACTCAGGTTACCTGAACAGTATCGAAGCCCCCAGTTTCTCCACATACTCTCCAGTACATGATATTACCTGAATTTTTTTTTTGAAAGCCTGGAACTGAACCCAAAGCTTTCACATTGAGCTACATCCTGAGCTCTTTTTATTTATTTTGGGACACTGTCTCATTAAATGGCTAAGTTGTCCAGGCTGGGCTTAACCTTGTGTTCCTCCTGCCTCAGCCTTCCAGAGTGCGAGAATTACAACCAGAGACAAGAATTCAGATATAAATATTTGGAAGAGAGGAGGTCTTGGGAAACATTAATAGGGTGTTAAAGAAGTGAAAGAGGGCAAGAAGGCAGCCAAGAGAGAATGTATCATCAATCCAGTGGCCACTGTACGTGAGCTAGCATAGAACTCATTCAGCTCAGTCTTCCTACCCCAAGAGAGGAGGAGAGGGATGATATACCCACTCCTTCATGTACAAAGGAGTCATGAATGGCAGCTGCTCCAGGGGAGTTGGGTTGCTGATTCTCTGGATTCTGTAAAAATGTTGGGAATGGGGAAGGCAGTGTACACTAGAGCAATAGGGCCTACACAGAGAGGCAGTGTCTATTGCCCAGAGGTGACATCCAGGATGGAAAGATATGCCCAGGGTCTGATATAGTGAGGTACAATTTACCTGAGTCTGAGCAAAGCCACCCCTTTCTCCTAGACGTGCTTAAGGGTGAAGTTACCAAGTAGGAGCCCAAGAGTATAAAGTATGTTCTTCAACTGATTACATGACCTATTGCTTTCTAGTCAGCATAACAGTGGATAATTGAAATTTGTTCAAATTCCACCCCTATTTTTTTACTTTTGACTAGTGAACTACTAAAATTAAAGTTTGAAATCGAATTCTCTTCCTGCCCTTTATTTTATTAGTGTATATTAGTTATACAGAACAATCGGTTTTGATTTTTAGAATTATCATTGGAAGATTGTATTTCCTGTTTTTGATTGATAGCTTTATTATGGATAAAATATATCTGACTTATTTGCTAGGGATATAAATGATAACCCATTTATGTCTTAAGCTTATGATTAAGCATCTTAAGATGGCTAGCGGCTTCTGATCTTTGTAAAGGTATTTGGTAATTATTTTCTATTATTTAGAGGCGGTCTTATTTTCTTAAAAACTCGCACTCATAATCATGTTTCTGCATTTAACCTCAGTTTCATTTTTCACCTATAGGGATAACATAGGGATTCCTCCCTCTGACTTCTGATAGGCTGTACTTCTAACCTTATAGTAACTACCTAGAAAACAAGAGTTGTACAGATCTCCCGGCAGTTAAAATAGCTTTCATAGTCCCCTACAGCTGGGGTTTGGGAGGAGGGGTAACTCAGGCTTGGAGATGATGGAGACAACTCAGGTTACCTGAGCAGTGTCTGAGGTCCCAGCTTCTCCATACTGTACAGTACATGTTATTATGTGGCCTTTTTGGCAAGTCTGGGGATTAAACCCAAGGCTTTCACTTTGAGCTACATCCCCAGCCTTTTAAAATTATTATTTTATTTTGAGACACTGTCTCATTAAATAGCTAAGTCTAAATCTCCTCCACTTAAAATCTCCTCCACTTAGCCTATATCTCCTCCACTTAACCTCCAACTATCTCAGCTCACTGGATGCTAGTTCTGGGTTATTTTTTTATCTGCCCTGTTTTCTTTGAGAAGAGAAAAGGGGATCAGAAGTGGCTTGAGCCTCCCTCCCACCCAACACTCACCTCAGAAATCTCAGTGTTACCTGCCACCACTGAGCATTTGACATCTCCTTGTGGCTTCCTATTTCTAATTCTCCTTCTTCTATTTACTACTCAGAGGGCTTCTGGTGCTTTTTGTCATGCAAGGAGTAGTGTCAACTTTAGATGATTCTGTCCTGACAGATTTCTCAGAGCTCTCTGGGAAAAGTCAGAGGTTTTTTTTTTTTTTACTCTGAACTGCAGCATTTAGTAAGAAGGTTTGTGTCTCACAGACCCACAGGGCCCTTACCAGCTCCCACCTTTGCTTTGTAATTAATGAAGTTAGATTGAAAAAAAAAAGACCCTGGTTGCCACCATCTCCCCATGCAAATGAGACCAAGAAGTGATACAAAATATTATGTAATGCAGTTAGATTGCACTGGAATAGTTGATTGATATGAAATCCAAAGTAAAAGAATTTACCCTCCTTTCTCCGAAGACACCTCATGTACAATTCTTTATACTTACCTTCTTATATTGCTGCCTTATTTCACCTTATGCTTTATTAATTTTCTCTAATACAATTATTAATTGAAAATGGGATTTTCTTTCAGATTTATCTCCATCCCACTCGACTCTGAATTATCTTAGTCCATATTCATTAAGTGCTCATATAAATTAAAGGGAAAAAATTTTTTCTTCAGATTGATTCCACATTTCTTTGATGATAAAGGAGACCAAATCAGTAACTATTCTACAGTTACGTCAAGGGAATATCTGAGTCAGATACCTTTCTGCTCAACGTTCTGCTTAGCATTAGTTTTAATGATAACTCTTTTGAAACATGAACAGCTCTTTTGAGTATTGGTCACTTTCTGATTATGGCCCCAAATAAAAAGTGTGTCATTTCCTGTTAATATATGTCCTAAAATATTCTTTTCTCCTTTCCTCTCCACCGAGAACCACGTTTTCTGTGATGGGTGGCAGTGGATTAGTTCATGCATGTTGTAACTCTGTCTCCCTAATGAAGATAGCATTGCACTTGCCCTCAGGTACCCTTGGCTTATTATGGGCCCTGATAGTGGATTTTTCCAGAACAAGTATGCTTTGGCACCTAGTTGCATGAGGGGGAAGAAGGGCTATGATTGTTTGAACATGGCTTTCTTATTCCAGTGCTCAATAATCAAATCCTCAGGGCTTTATCTTTGCTTTTTAGCTATGATATTGAAAGAACTTCTCCTTACTAGGTGAAGTAAGCAGCTATCTGGAAAGCTCAGAAATCAATGAACTATGAGAATAGGTGCAGGCTGGCTGTGGTAGCAAAGTAACCTCTGTGACTAGGTTATAATGGAAATGTGGGATGGATCTTTCAGAAGAATTAAAAAATCCTTCAAACCCTGCATGACCAGACTGATCCATTCCTTCTATCTGTGTTCTCCTTTTCCTATAAATGGTTTACTTTGGCTCATAGCTCTTTTTCACAGAATGGTTTAAAAAAGAATTGTAAATGAGAACATCTGCACTTAGAGTGTTCATTGTGGTCAGACCTGACTTCTCCTCCACCTCCTTCTCTCTGGAGGAGTTGCTGCCACTGCTACTGCCTTTTGTTATGGAACCATGAAATATTAACCAAATTCTTGTATCTGTTTTTTTTGTAAGTGGTCTTAAGACAGAGGAAAGATGTTATGGAATTGAAATAGGCTTGGAGGCAAAAGACTAGGTCCTTCTCTCGATGGCTATTGGTTTTAGGGAAGTCACCTCTCAACTTTGGAGGCATCTTCTGACCCTGAGTGAAATATTTTGTCTTCCCCAACAGCCTGTAGGACAATTATGTCACTGGACATTGGGAAGTTTCTAGGAGACAGTGTCTGTATCCACAGCCTCCTTGGGATGCTCCAACAACTAAGTTTCTGCCTTTCTCTGTAGAGATGAAATCTAGTTAGTAGATTTGATACCATACATGAGATAGAACGATCTTGCCCTTAAAATATTATCACACTTGGAAAACATAAAGTTTATCTTATTGTAGATTCTCATATTAGCTTCCATTTTCACTTACTTGGCATCAAGAGATATTACCATGATTACTGTGACCAGAAGTCTCCTGAGTTAGAACTTAGGCTCAGAGTAGAGTATACTCTACTCAGTCTTGTTCATTCATTAATAGTAAGAACTGTTTTGTTCATTCATTAATTCACTTATTACCTGAAATATATTGATTAAGCATTCATTGTGTTCTTGACATAAGGAAGGAAATAACAAATAAGGCAATGACTCTTCCCACTGCCTTCTCTGTTTTATACCATGAGATAACAAGTCCAGGATCTCACTCTGACACTTAACCCATAGGCAAAAATTAAATAACGAACCTACTTCAGAGGGAAGTTGATGAAGCATTGAGCCCTGCTTTTCCAAGGGCACTCCAGGTCTATTACTCAGTGCTTTGACCTTTATCCTGATCTGCAGCCCATTGTTTTTGGCCTAGAATATG